ATTTCATGTTCCTATCTACATAAATGGAGGAGTTATAACGAAAAATCTGAACAATCAGTTGTATGAGAGCTATAGATTATAGTGACCGATCTTTGTAATTTTCACTGTAAGTATTCTGTTGATAATGGGCGGAAGTAATGCAAAATTTCATCTTCCTAACTGCTTAAATGGATGAGTTATAGCGAACAATCTCATATCTGAACAATCAGTTGTATGGGAGCTATATGTTATAGTGGTCCGATTATTCCAGTTCCGACAAATGATTAGTGCATTATAAAAATACACCCACCTACCAAATTTTATCCGGATATCTCGAAAACTGAGAGACTAGATTGCATACAAACAGACGGACAGATGGGCATGGCTAAATTGACGAAGCTCGACGTTCTGATCATTTAAGTATACATTTCAATGGGTCTATCTCTTCTAATTGTGGTACTTACAAACATCGGACCAAAGTTATAATACCATTTCATGCTAATGAAAGGTATAAAAATAGTTTTCGATATAGAACAATCCTAGGGTGGGAGCATTACAATTCCGACTTTACTGTGTACATAAGCATGCCTTGTAAAACTTTTTTTTTAGTCAAATCTCTGCACATTCAGTTTACACATTAAAAAACTAAGAATAACTTCTATTTTTGATCGAAAAAATTAAAATCATAGTATAACGATTAAAAATGATCGAAAAAATAAAAATCATAGTATAACGATTAAAAATTATCAAAAAAATAAAAATCATAAAGTAACGATTAAAAATGATCGAAAAAATAAAAATCATAACATAACGATTAAAGATGATCGAAAAAATAAAAATCACGAAATAACGATTAAAAATTATCGAAAAAATAAAAATCATAAAATAACGATTATTTTTGATCGAAAATATAAAAATCATAAAATAACGATTATTTTTGATCGAAAATATAAAAATCATAAAATAAGGATTAAAAATTAGAGGTGTCAAACTATCGATAGTCACACCATCGATCGTTTTGATAGTTTTCAGAAAAACTATCAATATTCACGATAGTCTCGAAAAAAACAAAACTATCGATAGGTTGCTTTCATGAACCGATTAGAACAGATCTGACCGGTTGAGAAGCAGCCATTTGTAATAGCAATTGAGAAAAAAGTGTGTGACGTTCGTAATTTTGAAGTTTCCTATTTCTGTTTTGCTTCTTTCTTTATGTGTATTTTGTCGGTGGTTTATTTCAGTGATTTTTTGTGCAAATGTAATTAAAATGAAGTGCGCGGTGATTGAATGCAAAAACACGTACATAAATAATAAATTGGTTAGCACAAACATGTGCACAACATTGCTTGCATTTTTTCTTTATGCTTCCTTTTCATATTCTTTGTTTACTTTTTACAGAAAATAACATGGCGCCGAAATTACAAACGTCAGCCAGAAAATTACTTTTTTCGTTTGCTCCATCTTGTCAGATCTTGTGTAGTTGGATCATGGGTTGTTTTGTTTTTACAGGATCATAGTGAAATAAATATTATCTTATAAAAGTTATAATCATTCAAAATTAAGTAAATGCTTAGCCAAAATACTTCTCTTTTTAGAAAGTTTAAAAACAAACACAAGTTATACAAACAAAACAGGATTTACCATTAACATATGTATGTATTTTGGCCTAAATGCGTGCATATTTGAATATGACGTCGGCATCACACTAAAAAACAAAATTTTTAATTCAAATTAAAAAATTCCAACAATTTCAAAATAATTGGTAGAGATGATCGATAGTCCTACTAAACTATCGATATTTTCGATAGTATAAGAAAAAATAGTAATGAGTATTGATAGTATAAAAAAATTGAAACTATCGATAGTGCCATCGATAGTTTGACAACTCTATTAAAAATGATTGAAAAAATAAAAATCAAAGAATAACGATTATTTTTGATTGAAAATATATAAATCATAAAATAACGATTATACAATGATTTTTAAATAAAAATCCTTCATGATAACGATTATTTTCGGTCCCTGGTATTTTAATTGAAAAATCTTAAATAATGCTATGGTCTTGCTTTAAACTACACTACTACTTCATTAAATGTTCATGTTTTATTCAAGGATACACATATCTATGTAAGTTAACAAAAAAATGTAACTACATCAATAATTATGTTCGTTTAAGTACCCGCATCGAGGTAATTAAGCGAGTTCTTTTAAGTACCCAACCCGCCTAAGTACCTCAAAAAGCTGACATTTTTCGTGAGGTACTTAAGCGGGTTTTACTGTATGTATTTTAAATTCAATATGATAATTTTAAACCAAACAAAAATCCCCATCAAATCCCCACATCTCCAAACGAAAAAATCTATCCCCAAATGGTTTCATAAATCCCCAAAATGGGGCGAAATCCTGGCATCTGGCAACACTGGGTATAATGCATCCCTCGTGAATAGCTCAGCTACAGTCTTACAATGTAGTAGTCCCAAACACTGGATTTCTGCTACAAATAAATAGCCAAACAAATATTCATGTTTAGGACAGAATACTTCCAATACTTCAAAATTTCGTCATTAATTTATTTATTTTTTTGTACTTAAATTTGTTTTTTTTTTTCAAGTATATTTTTTGATTTCTTTTTTAACACATTATTTCATGAAATTCGACTCATTTGTCTTTCATCTTCTTTTCTCATTTCACATAATTTTTTTTTTTTTTAAATTTATGCTTTTATTTCAAATGTATTTTTTTCAAATTATAATTTTTTTACTCCTCAGTATTTCAATTATTTATGTTACTTGTCCCTATCAAAAAATATCGGTTTTCAGTTTTGCCAACTTTTGATTTTCAAAAAGCACCAAAAACTTGGAAAATAGCGTTTAACCACACTAAAAGCACCAAATGGTTTTGAATCAATAGATGCTTTTTTCATAACAGTTTATATGTATTTAACAAAAACAAAAAATTAACAATATTTACAAGAATGCATACATAAATCAATAAACAAAACTTTTTCGCTCATAACGATTGAAAAGCCACATGCTATAATGACTCATGCTTACGACGTAATACCGAAGTACTGCGCATTAAAACTGATATATCTCAAGAAAGAAAAATCGAATCCCGACAAACGCAAATCATGCCCTAAGTAGAAATGAGCAAAAAAAATTATGTTTTCATTATATAACCTCAAATATCGCCGAAAACCGTGATTTTGGCACTTTGAGGTTAGGATATCTCAAAATTCTAGTGCTTGAGCAATTGGATTCAGCACCAAGAAACGATGTGTTTTACTCAGGTGGTACAAAAAAAAAAAAATTTACAAATAATTAGAAAAGAAAAAAAGAAATACTTAACTTACCCGCATATCTACTAGTATTTTCAAGGCGAATAGAATTGAACAAGGAGGGTTTGCAAGTTCAGCTTTTTATCAATCATGGTTGTATTTAAGTGCATTTAAATTTGTAGATTTTTGTAAATTCAGTGCTGCCACAGCTTTAAATATTTAAAAATTTTTTCAGGTCTTAACCAAATCGGAGTAATTTTAGTTCAGAAATAAAGCACTAAAAAAGACACTAGGCACTAAATAATTTTTTTAGGCGTTTTAATTTTCTAAAAGCACTAAATCTAGTGCTTAAAGCACCAAGTTGGCAACTAAATATGTCGGTTTTAGAAGAAAAATTGTGGGGGCCAAAATTGTAGGAAATTTGATTTTCTTCAAGTCTGACCTTGCTTATTTATGCCGTAGATTTGAAAATGAACGAGATATAATGCAATATTTTGAGATTACCGCTTGCTTCAAGTTTGTTTCGAAAACAATCAATTTTAGAAGAAAAACAAGTAAGAAAGTCTAAGTTCGGGCGGAGCCGAACATTAAATACCCGGCGCAAGTATTAAATATATATTTTTTTTTCACCTTTCCGAAAGCTTCCGCTAGATGGTAAGCCGGGGTGTATCAATTTTGAGTAAATTAGCGTCCTTCAATTTCGAAATATTGAAGTTTCAAGCATTTCTGAAATTTACCGTTATATGAGAAGCGGCCGTAATTTTAGTCCGATTTCAATAATTTTCAACGTTTTGCTTATATGTGGCAAGCACAATAACCACACCGTACACGGTACAAATTGGTAGAACGGTTACCGATATATGTACATATATGTGATCATAAGTGGGCGGCGCCACGCCCATTTTCCAAAATTTTACCATTAACGTATTTCTTGGTAAAGAATTGTTGCAAGCGTCAATTTTGAATAAATTAGCTTCAATATTTATTGATTTATCGAAGATTTTGTATTTCTCTAAATTACCGTTATATGGGATGTGGGCGTGGTTATCGTCCGATTTTAAAAATTTTCGGCGATATTTTATGCTGTACCAAGGCCAACAACTGTGCCAAGTTTGGAAGAAATTAGTGCAGCGGTTACTGAGATATACACATGTAACCATAAGTGGGCGTGGCTACGCCCATTTTCCAAAAATTTATAATATTCTTATTTTTCGTCTAAAAGTTATTGCAAATATCAATTTTGAGTGAATTATCTTCAGTAGTTACTAAAATATCGCAGTTTTCGTATTTCTGGAAATTACCGTTATATGGGAAGTGGGCGTGGTTAAAGTCCGATTTCGCCCATTT